GCTAACAAAAACCACCATAAGACATGTAAGCATATTATTCGTATTTTACATGTTATTTAAATTGGAGAAGAATATTTTCATATATATAATCGGGTCCCCATTCCTGTAAGGGGGCCACGCCTTCAAGTCAAGTCCATGTATATATATATAACGTGATATCAGGAAAGCGATGTGCCCGTTTATATACATGTTATATGCTCCAACCAATTCCCCTTTATAACCCCATGTTTATCAGATTAATTAAAATTAAAACTCTAAATGTAATCCACTAACGATCGGGAGAATCATCTAAGCAACGATGTCATGTAACTAGTCATCTTATCACTCATCTCAAACAAAGTCAAGTTCATATTATCGAATAACTGGTTGTTCACAAATCTCACTGGCACGAGCCTGAAAATAATCAACGATCACATCACTGTCTGGAACTGGAAAACAAATCAACAACCACATCCGATCATATAAACCAAGACTTTCTCATTCCAACGTTTCTTGTATTTCTAAGTCAACACATATGCCACTAAGTCTCGATCATAATGCACAGGTCACTAAGTCATGAACTCTATCTCACATCCACTGGTCTCATATCAGTCATCAAACAATCCACGCAAATAATAACTTATCACATCCTAATATATGTAGATAATTAATGACAGAGATAAATATGAAATGACGGGTCAAGGGAATACCAGGAACTTACATATACTTAATTAACAGTATATCAAAATTGTAAAGGCGAGTCAAAGGGAAGTGAGATCTTGCCTGCGAGACCGTGGGGTCTGACGACGAGGCGACGGCGCCGATGCGGACACGGTACGACGGATCTCTAGCGACGTCTGTGGCAGGTCTGGACTGCGTCGGCATATCATCGAACAGGTGGCGTGCGACGAAGGAGAGGCGTTGGTGGTTGCGGTTGGTGGTCGTTGGCAGCAAACTTGGGCGTCGGGGCTGTGCTGCGGACTGAGGGAGACGTCGTCTCTGCTGCAGATGGGTCTGAAACGGGTGGATGACGAGGCCGATGGCAAGGCGGCGCTGCTGACGACGGGGATGAAGGAGGACAGTGAGGCGGAGTTGGGGTCCTGCGCGGGGCTGGTCGGCGGTGAACTCAGGCGGTCGTCGGTGCTGGGCGTCGAGAATCCTAATAACCACATGTTACCAACATAAATTAGGAATCCTAATAACCTCATGTTACCAAAATAGATTAGGAATCCGCTATCCAACAAGTTGAACTCCTGTGAAGTTTCTTAGTTCAAAAACAAATTTTTTAAACTGTGAAACTTCACGGGAGTTGAACTCCCGTGAAGTTTAGCAGCTTAATTAAAAGCATGCTAAACTTCACGGGAGTTTAACTCCCGTGAAGTTTCAGAATTTTTTTTGTAAAAACCGACCTGGTTTCGGCGCTGAGGCTGAAACCAGGTTGGTTTTTACAAATAAGAGAGAAATAAGTTGTTTTTTGGGAATAAATTTGCAAAAGAGTTTGTTTTGAAAAATTTGTCCTAAGAAGAAAATATGTAGCTTGACAATGGAGGACAAATTTTCAAAACCAACCTATTTGGACTTTTATTCCCCAAAAACGACCCCATTCAAAAATAATTACAAAAACCGACCTGGTTTCAGCCTCAGCGCTGAAACCAGGTCGGTTTTTAAAAAAAACTCTCCGAAACTTCACGGGAGTTGAACTCCCGTGAAGTTTCATAGTTCAAAAAACTTCACGGGAGTTCAACTCCCGTGAAGTTTCGGAAAGTTTTTTTCAAAAACCGACCTGGTTTCAGCGCTGAGGCTGAAACCAGGTCGGTTTTTGTAAATAAAACTGAATGGGGTCGTTTTTGGGGAATAAAAGTCCAAATAGGTTGGTTTTGAAAATTTGTCCTATTATAATATTTGAAAGAGAAAGATTGGGGAGAGAGGGGAAGATTTGATTACGGAGAACATATTTGGTATGATTTTGAACGTGATTGCTGGGGGATTGGACTTGGATTTGGAGGAGGGATTTGATTACGGGCAAAATTTATTTGAGAGAGAGAAGGGGATTTGATTAGGGAACTGATTAGCTAATTAATTAGGGGGAAAATATGGAAGGAAAACAAAATGAGAGAAAATTTAGGGAAAAGAAGATTATGGAAATATATTTACATAAAATTCAGAATAACATTATATTAATAAATCATTTTAAATAATTATAAACAACCAAATATCTTTATATTTATATTTATATACTTTTGTACTATGCTCAGGTTTATATTAATAAGATTATTAACAATATCAATGACCAAATAACAATCTAAAAATATTCACCGCAACCATTAAATTTATAATTAACAAAACCATTAAAATAAATATAAAACTAGATTTTTTTTTTAGATTCTATAAAATCAAAAAAAATATAAATACTCTTTTTAAAATAATAATTTAATATTTAAAACACCAGAAAAATTATTTAAACAAGTATCGAAAATCAGGGTCCTTACATCCTACCCCCCTTAAAACAAATTCCGTCCTCGGAATTAAACCCAAGGACAGAGATAAGGAACGAGAGCGGAGTCAAGAAGTGACGAGACAAGAAACAATGGAAAGTTCCGAAGTCAAAAAGTGATTAGGTAGGGATGAAATGAAATCTATCAAGAAAATAGGATAAGAGCTCAAGGATAGTCTCACGAATGAAATATGATATGTTTCTAAATTATCCACTATATTCTTACTAATGTGAAATCGGGACCGTGACCTGCATGGGCCACCAAAAAAACCTGTCACGCCCCGCTTCCCAAAATACCAGGGAATCGGGACGCGAGCAAGCCCGCGACGTATTAGACTGAGAAGAGATAAGTGCTAGACCCCGTCTTCTCAATCTAATACGCTAAGCGTCTGGAAATAAAACAATACGAAGGCACAGGTCCCCGATCACAATAGCAAGAATATAAAGACAACTCAGAACAAGGAAATATCATATCACAAACGGGATAACATCCGAGACATAAAATACGGGTCAAACATGCCCTTATACAAATCTGAACAAATGAATACTAAAGAGATACAAAATACACTGATCAAATAGAAATGGAATGTAGTACAAAAGAAAACGGATGACCAATAACTAAGCTTCAGCTTCTTCTGCTCCGTCTGCAGGGCACTCCTGCTGAGAATCCTCTGGCTCCTAATGATCTCCCAGCTGAACCTGTTCTTCATCTAAGTCTGACGTACACCAGAGAAAACAGGTGTACGTCAGGTGCATGACGCACGGCAAGACCCGACCCCACAAAGAAAATAGAACGAAAGGAAATCCAATGCGAAAAACGATACGATAACAGAAACAACAAAAGAACGTACAACTGAAATCCACAAATCAACATGAAAACACTACTAAAACATGATAACATAAACCATCCAAAAGCGATCAGGTAACGAGTTCATGCAGCTAACGATCAGAAACAATCGTACAAGTCACAATGGCATACACTAGATGGAATTAATACTTAAAAATCTACAACAAGAGACGTAGTACGTCGAGCGAAATAATCCAAACAAGGAAACCCTTTCCTAAGAAAAATAATGTATAATTATAGGCAGTAGTAAAGATAATTATGGCCCCTAAATTGAAAAGACAAAATTGTAATAGTGTAGGACTTTGACGCAAAATATCCCAAAATTCATCACCCCTTTAAAATCCAACTAGTGTGAACACTGTGTGAAGCACAGCATATTTTTTTCTCCTGCTACAGTCATCCCGGTTTGAACTGATACGGTAAGTTTTGGAATTTTTGAATTGCTACAGTATCCACCTCTATTACAGTATTGTCTAATGCTATAGTAACATTTTTTTCAAAAAACATAGCGTCCAGTTTCACGTTTGCTATAGTAAATGTTATTGTAGATTCACTCTAGCTTGAATGTTTTGGGTTCACCCTTTTGTAAAGAGGAGTAAACGCAAGACAAAACGAATAAGAAAAAGAAAAAAATGGTGGAAAATGGCGAAAAAACAGAAATCAAACGAGATCAAGCAATGACCAACACCCATCAATGGAGGAATTGGGCAGGGCTTCATCCAGAGCTCCTCGCTTTGATATTCGCGCGCGTAAATCCAACGGACGAGATGATCCGAATGATCCCTTTAGTCTGCTGGCTGTGGTGCGAGGTCGTTAATGGGCCGGACTTTTGGACCCAGGCCCACATAGACCTCGACCGGTGGTGCCGCCACGTGGCGTCATCGACTCCGCCGTCCGTAAGTTGGTCCGGCGGAGCAGCAGAACGCTCAGGAGCCTTGATGCCTACATGATATATCCCCTTTTAGAATTTCGTATCCCATAATTTTTTTGAAACAAACACTGTGGAAAGCTTGAAACAAACACCCATTTTCACATCCTAAAATTTGTAATCCCAAAAAAAAGCTTGAAACAAACACCCCCTTAACCAGGACCGGCCCCGAGCATTCGGGGGCCCTAGGCAAACAAAAACCCTAAAAGGCGTCTACATTGCAAATTTATAGAGGGAGACAAGGAGTGGGCATTCCCACGTGGAGAAAATATTTAATATTCGCATAAGTTAACTTACATAATGTCTGTCACATGCCGGAGCACGCAATGCCACGTTGCTGTTTGCCTCGTTCATTTGACTCTAATTTCGTTTTCTCACTTTGGTAACTACGTCAAAGATCCCAATCTCATGGAATATGAGACTCCCATGATTTTTTTTAATATTGTCCTCAATCATCAAAGGAAGTTCGGAGTTTTTGGGGGCCCTGTTTTTTAGGGCCCTAGGCAATCGCCTCTCTCGCCTACCCCTTGGGCCGGGCCTGCCCTTAACCCATCTAGTGTGAACACAGTGCAAAACAGGACATATTTTTTCGTTACAGTAATCCCGGTTTTAACTATTACAATATTTTTACAGGATTTTTGAATTGCTACATTATCCCGTGTCTACTATAGTATTCTCGTGTCCCACAGAATTTTTTTTAAAACTGCTATATTTACTCCAATAATATTTCCTATAGCATCGGTGAATGTTGAGTTCTCTTGTTTGTACAAAGGAGTAGACACATCACAAAACGAATAAAGAAAAGAAAAAAAATGGTCGAAAATGGCGAAAAAACAGAAATCAAACGAGGTCAAGCAATGACCAACACCCATCAATGGAGGAATTGGGCAGGGCTTCATCCAGAGCTCCCCGCTTTAATATTCGCGCGCATAAATCCAACGGACGAGATGATCCGAACGATCCCTTTAGTCTGCTGGCCGTGGTGCGAGGTCGTTAATGGGCCGGACTTCTGGACCCAGGCCCACGTAGACCTCGACCGGTGGTGCCGCCAAGTGGCGAGGACCGCCCGACTCCGCCGTCCGTAAGTTGGTCCGGCGGAGCAGCAGAACGCTCAGGAGCCTTGATGCCTACATGATTGGGGATGCTGGGTTCTTGTATGCTTGCTCAGCGTATGAATTTTTTACTTCTTTGATTGTTTTTATTTGAAAAGTTGAGATTTTAGGGCTTGTTGTTTATTTCACAAATCCTTGATGCGGTGACAGAGAGTAACAATTTATGCTTTTGAATTGTCATAGTTATAGAAGTTCTATTTTGACAATTTGATACCCAAAGGTTTGAAATTTACGTTATTTAACAATGGTGATGCCCCATCAAAACTCAAAAAACTGAAACTTGGTAAGAAAATTTGTTTCTTTCACTTTTCTATATTGACATTCTTGAACAAAATTAAATTCTAGGGTTTGTGCTTTGGAGTATCAAATCGCCAACAGAGAAATTCAGGGTGTCAAAAGTTAGAAAGGGTGGAACTCTGGGTTCTTGAAGTGCAAATAACCCTTTGTCTTTTAACATTCCCCCTTTTTTTTGTGCCTTTGTTTACTCTCAATTTATATAGGACTTGTTACATGTACACCTGATGTATTATGAAAAGGTAAACCACTAAACTTTGGCTGTTTTCTTTCCTCTCCTTTCTTCTCTGATACACACTCTCATCCATCAATCCAAAAAACTTGAGTGTTCAATGAATTGGCTACACCATTTTATTGCTCTCAGTGACAATGTACATGTTTTCCATAATCCCCAAGAGATTTATTTCTCTGCGGTGTGTTTTGATTAAGTTTCCATCAAAGAACGAACTTTGTTCAATAGAAAAGCTGAAAATTTTAAAATTTCCAAGAATTTCTTCGACAAGGATTCACATGTCACATATAAGACAGAAAATATTATAATTTGAAGCTTGAATGAGTGCAAAACCCCTATAATTTTGCCTCCGCGTGTGTGTGTTCGCACGCACATATAGCTTAATTTGGGGCCATGTTCTTTTATCAATTCATCTATGTTTGTCCTTATAGTTTCATGAGTTGTTATTTCCAAAGAAAAGCTAAGTGCAGTTATATGGTTATTTGAAGCTTGGACAAGTCCAATATATCTTATGATTTTGCCACTAGTTTCTTTAGCTGGTTTGATACTGATGTGTAGTACATACAGTCCCGGCATAAGTAATACAATTGGCTCGTGAGTAAAAAGAACCAGATGTTTGACACATTAGTAACATATACACATGCACACACACAACAGTTCCTGATCTTATGTCAAGGGTACCATTTCTTTTAAGATACTTCTTGTTCCAAGAACAATTTTTTTTGGAGCTCGTCTCTTAGAACACAGAGTATGCTAAATTGTCTATATTCATACTGAACTACAGAGTTCAAGGTAACCAAATTCATTTTAGTGGAAAATTTATCAAAGTTGGAGGTAGTATAGCAGTTAAACTCCCAATATTTTTTGAGTGGCCGTGCCTTGAACTTATGGCCTCTATATTAAAAAGAAAATGCTACCTTCCTGCGTCCTTGCAAAATTCCTACTGAATATTTATTCCTGGAAAGCAGTGGTATTTGTTAGTGTTCCACAATGTCAGCATTATAGACTTGCTCCGTGAAAACATATTTGTATGTGATATATCCTGTTCTATTTTTCACAAAAGGTTCTATCTATAATTTCCTTGAGTTGTATATTATTTATGGTATGAAGATTGGTGGTGGATACTTCTTTTTTTATCTTTCAAATTTTTGAATTGTTTCTTAACTCAACATCAATTTTTTTGGTTCTTCCTTATTTCCTGTCTACTTTTTTCCTTTTATAATTTTTTCCGAGAAATGAATTGATGATTAGTATCTGATGATCTCATAGTCTTGATTTCCATGGGAAATCTGACATAACTATTGTAAAACTAATTATAAAAATTACAAGGATCATCAGATACACACGAACTAATTTTGTGTTTTCTCTTAATGATCCATATCACACTTCAAATTTACATTATTCTGAGTGTCATATACCTTTGAAATAGGCAGACTATTTTTTTTCTTCTATTCATATTTTTTTGACTTTCATTTAACTTGACTGTTCACAGTTTTTTTTAAAGATAAACCATGAAGCATAGCTCCCCAGTGTTTCATCAAAAAGAAATTAAAGAAACAAAATCCAAAGTGAAGGTATACAAGCATAAAAATATGAGAACTCTCATCAAACCTGCCCCCTCAAACCAAAAAAAACGAGGCGGCGGGTGTGGGGGGTGTTACTATCACCGGTGATAATAGCTAGAAGCATGAAAACAAGCATCCTCGACAACATCATTATATCCATATTCCATTCAATTTCTCCTCAGGATAGCATGTGACAAGTGATACTTATCAAGCCTTGTGATGATTATACCAAAAACAAGATAAATAGTGATCAGTTTCAAGTCAGTAAGACCTCAATACCATTACTGAAAGCCAATTGTTTTCTATCTCTATAAGAATGTCTAGGCCCCTTAACCGCATCAACAATGATTCATCGACAGTAGGACCCCATGTTTCCTAAGTGTTCACAGTTCGTAAGTTAATCATAAGATATAATACGAGAAGAGGAACCTGCAATGTGGGCAGAGCTTTCACTTGTGATGTAAGAATCACAGGTTAAAAGAGGGTTAGAATTGTCGATTATTTGGAAACAAAATAAATTTTATTTTGATTGTTTGAAAACAAGTCATAGTTATGTATTCGTACCTGTTTTGCTCTTCTTTTTTCGTGCAGAGGAAAGTTCCTCAGAGTCCTAAAGATACCAATGAGTGTAGTGACTGATCAAATGATTGAAAAGCATGCTCAATTCCTCCCCATGCTAACAGTACTAGGTGTCAGCTATTGCCTCAAGATCACCTCCCAAGGTATTGAAGCCCTCGGCAATTGCTGCAAATCTTTGGTCGAGTTAAGGAGGAATATGCCGCCCCCAAATCATATGGCTGACCAAGACAATGGTGTAGCTCTTGATGAATCAGAGGCAATGTCTATAGCTGACACCATGCACAATATTGAGCACCTTGAGCTTGCCTATGGCCGCTTCAGTGACCATGGCTTAGATGCTATCCTCTCTAAGTGTAGAGGTCTTCGTGTTCTTGACCTCCGTGGATGTTGGAATTGTAGACTGGAAGGTAAAACTGAAAGCAAGTATAGTTTGACTTTGATCCAGTCTGTTAGGAATCCTTGGGAAATTGATGATGAAGATCCCAATTCCTCTGATGATGATGAAGAGAATAATGAAGAGGAAGAAGAAGACGACGATGATGATTCTGACATAGCCCTCGTGGATGTTGATACGTATGAAGATTATGATGATGGTGATGGTTATGATTAAGACATAATCACGGCCATCATTTTTTTGGGTAACTCAGTACTTCATTTTGGAGCTTTTGAATATATTTTGTGTTTCTTATGTGTGTATACTTGCTTATGCATTATGGGAAGTATGACTGGTTTTAGTGAATGATACTACGTGGGGTAAAGTGAAGTTAAATTATGAATAATCATTTTTGAAACATGTTTTCTGATGGGAGTATTATGATACACTGAGAATTTGCTTTGCTCAGTGTTGTCCTGTTTCTCTAGGATTGTTATTAATTTTCGGATTGTTAAAAAAAAAATCCATTTTGTGACAGTAACTTCTGCTACAAATGATATGGAATATGTTTTATGCATTTCGATGCGTCTTGATTACAAGAAAGATGATCATATAAGGACTGCTGGAACTCACAACTGATCTCATATATTAGGCGTGATGTCCTTGTAACAAACATCTTCATTGTAAAAATAGCTTACAAATAATTACCTGAAGGCCACAATTAAGCCCAACATCATCATTGTTAATATTTCACTGCATGATCTTTACCGGAAAGAGATATGCATATATTGTTATGTAGTATTGTATATAAATATTATTATATATATATATATTATATATATGTATATATATATAATATTATGTTATATATATAATATATAGAATACTATATATATGAGATTAAATGGGTACCTGTCAGTAGGAGGGGATTTCCTCATGACGGCTTCTAAATCACATGATTGAGTGACATTGTGGAATGCATCCACTCGTTGAAATTGATCTACTATTCTAAACCCCAACACACCAAGTATTGGGGTGAAACCCGCTCGTCGTTTTGACATTTAATCACTCGCTATCAATTTTAACTGGTTTGAATGAATGAACTTTTCACATGGCTGATGGAGGGTCAAATACCACGGATTCACCCCAAACTTGGACCTGTGGGTTTAGAATGTAGATCAGTTAACGGGCGGATCATCCACAATGTCGCCCTCAATCATGTGATTTAGAGGCACGTCATAGGTAGAAAATCCCCTCATATGACACATGATACCATTTATCTCTCTCTCTCTCTCTCTCTCTATTATAACTATATATATATATATATATATATATATATATATATTATATTATATTTATATATAGACGAGAGAGACTGAGAGAGAGAAATCATGGGGTATACTTGGTACCAAGCAAAAAAAGTTGTGTTGGTAGTGATGTTCATATCTCCCTCCACTCATTCAAATGTGGGCACACACATTACATAGATAATTGATGTGAATGGGTGTGAACTACTACAGCATAACTTTTCATGCTGATAACAAGCATATATATATATTATATATATATAATATATATATATATTATATATATATATATATTATATATATATATATATATTATATATATATATATATATATATATATTATATATATTAATTTATATATATATATATAATATATATATAATATATATATTTTATATATGCAGCGAAGCTAATATTCATCTATGCATGAGGAGGCACTGCCATATACATGGCTTATGTATGATCAAGAATTATTGTCTTTAGGCTAGTAGTAAACTAAGTTTGGCCCTGCAGCAAAGGGTTCAACAAAGGCTTCAGAAGCAACAATTTATGAAGTTGTATATTTCGATGCTCCAGGAAATTCACAGGTAATACAAATCTATCAATTTATTCAATTTATAACTATATAATTGTTGACTACATGATAATACCAGCTCTTTCAATTATAGGACTACTTTTTCATATGCGATGTGCAAAAACAACACCTATTCCCACACAAATAAAGCAATAAACTGAATATAAAAAACATAGCACCTATTCCCACAAAATAGAGCAATAAATTGAACAAAAAATATCACAAAATAGAGCTAAAAAGCTCAAAACTAGCATCAAAATATCAAAAATAACACTTATTCCTACACAACATAGAGCTAAACAAGCTCGAAATTAGCTTGAATATAACAAAAACAACAACATCAGCTTAAACAGAGCTCATAACTGAATCTATTTACACAAAATACAGAGCTAAACAAGCTCGAAATCAGCATGATCACATCAAAAACAACACCAACTGAAAATAGCACCAATTCCTACATAAAATTGAGCTAAAGAAGCTCGAAATCAACATGAAAATATCAAAATCAACACCACCAGCTCAAACAGAGCTCAGAACCAAACCTATTTACACAAAATACAGAGTTAAACATGCCCGAAATCAGCATGATAACATCAAAAATGGCACCAGGAAATCAAACAGAGCTCAAAAATAGCACCAATTCCTACACAAAATAGAGCTAAACAAGCTCGAAATCAGCACCGGAGTCCATGAATACTTACTAGGGTTCAGGATATAAATAGATTGGTCATAAAAGATTGTCTCTCCTATAAAACTATGATGCAATATAGGCTGCTCTTCTGAGGGATTACCTCAGACAAACATTGTAATATCAATGTAGGTTGCATTGTACACAAAATTGTCTCGCCTAAACATTACATAATTAATTTAGGATGCAGTATTAGTTTGTTATCATCATCATTGCCCATCTAAATAAATATAAACAAAAAGAACTCATACCAGAATTGAGTACCAAAGAAAGTCATACGTCATTAAGCTCAACAAAAAGAACCCATATCAGAACGTGTACTTCACATACTACTCATTTTATCTTCATCTGAAGAGACCTGTATGTAATGTATTCATGTCACTACACCAATAGCCATCAATATTTTTATTCACATATTACTCATTTTATTCACATACTCATTTTAACCTTCTAAACAGTGTTATATTGAAAATGTGGACAATAACAATAAAAGAAAGAGACAAGTTCACAAATAACTATTAATAAATTGCATAGGAATTTCAACTTAAAAGAGAATTTGTAAATATAGGACAAGTTCACAAATAACTATTAATAAATTGCATAGGAATTTCAACTTAAAAGAGAATTTGTAAATATAAAGACTTACTTTCTTTTGTAGAACAAAAATTGCATAGGAATTTCAACTTAAAAGAGAATTTGTAAATATAAAGACTTACTTTCTTTTGTAGAACAATAAGAAAAATGGAAGATGAAAAAATAGATAATAGTAATTGACCTCTTGAAAGTAATTGGCTGCAAAATTTTGTCATTGACAAAACTTTAGAAAGAGATATTTGGCTAATTTAGTAATTTATTAAATTTGATATTCTTAAACTATGAAATTTAGAGTTGATCTTATATACTTTAGAGCAAGAATGTATAAGCACCAGATGACAATATTTTTGGTAACATATATTTTTATATGATTTATGATTTTTAATTTTAAGTATACAATAATCAAATCAAATGTATTAAAACTTAGATAGACGCAAATTTAAAATACAATGATAGAAGAAATAAGCTGTCGTGCTTTGCACGGGGTACATACTAGTAACTATGAATGCAAAAATATTAGGCGTGATGTCACTTGTAACAAACCATCTCATATGTAAAAGCATCTTTTTTTTCGTGCTTACTAAATTAAACGAAACATATTAAAATCAAATGAACACAATTAAGCCCAAAACCATCATCATTGTTAAAGATTTCACATGCATGATCTTTTACCGGAAAGAAGATTAAACATAAACAAATTATATTATACATAAACATATATATAAAAAATATAATATGTATACATATATAGGTGAAAACTCCTATCAACTTAAGTGGATAGGAAATAGTTGTCCACCAAACTTTTTATCCATGGATCTTGCCTAGGGATCCTTGCATGATATGAAGAGACTTTTTATATTAATAAATGAGTGGCTAAAAAGTTTGGTGGATCACTATTTCCTATCCACTTAAGTTGATAGGAGTCTTGCTCTATATATATATACTAGTATGTACCCCGTGCTAAGCACGGCATTCGCCTCTTTTCTACCATTGCACTTGGAACACAATATACGTTTAAACAAATTTCCCATATAACATGTACATGAAGTTGCTTGAGTGTCACACAAAATCATTAATTTTTACAAAGAAGTTATCTCTTGATGCATATTTTACTTCATCATACAAAATAATGCAAACTAACCTTTTAACTATATCGTGCCTCAAAGACAAACATTATAATATCGTATATTTATCATTAGGGGAAAGAGAAACGAAGCCAGTAAAAAAGAAGAGAAATAAGAGCAAAACCTGAAATAGAACTATTGTAGGCTTAAACGGGGTCTTGTATTATTTAGGCGAGGAAATTTCCTACTTCGAGATCTTCGTAATGACCTTCTCCATCACCTGCAAACCATAGAAGTTCCACATCACTGATTCTAAGAGAAAAATTATAGAATATGAGAATTGACATGTCCAAAAAATATTATCAAATATTAAAATCCACTATCATACATCATCAATTAAGTATAATAATCTCTTCATTAATGTGTCTTTTCAAAAATTCTTTATTAATGTTAAAGAGAAATAAATAGAAAATTGTGAATGTAAGGTTATTGAAGTTGAAAATAGTAATAGATATAAACTTTACAAACATATAATTATAAATACTTCTTTATCTATTACAACTTATAATTTACCCACACAAACACAAAATCTTTTCTTTTGCAAAGAAAAATATGACTCACACCAATAGAAAGAACATCCTTCTAATGTTTTGTTCCTAATCAGAAACATATATACTTTACAAATACACAATTATGAATTATGCCTTAGCATCAATTATTTATTCCTTTATTGTGCCATGGAAATTGAAATATCACAATAAAGATCATTCTTTCATAACTGTCATTACCCAAATTTCTAAAAATGATCCTAACTATCATTGACGAAATTTAGAAATTTTAGCATTTATCTTCATGGTTATACCATCCCTAGCCATCATTAACCAAATTTTTAAAGATCACATAACTACTCAAAACTAAAACCGAAATAGCACAATAAAGGTCAATATTTTCAATGCATAAATGTGTGAAAAAAGACTGGTTACTATAAATGACATACTTTGAAAATTCTTACAGAGCATAGTTATACAGTTTCCAGTTGCATTGATTTGAGTTTCTCCTTCTCTCCAACGACTTCTTATTTTTCGATATAAATTGCAGCTCTTGAGCTCTCAAGTTCGGCCTTAGAAGCAACAAACTTTTGAATATCTACAGGTAGCTGCACTTCTCCAGCATTTTTTTTCTCTATACAAAGATTCCTCCCTCTCCTTCAATAATCTAAAATTTGCATCACTCTCATTTTC